CCCGCCGAGCCGCCGGACGACTGGGGGCCGCTCTTCCACACCCTGGCCGAGCTGTATGGGGCCAAGGAGCCCCCGGCCCCCTGAAAGCCGGCCCCAGCCCTGCCCGCCGCGGGGTGGGGGGGGGGGCAGCCCGCACAGGCCCTCTGAGTGAGCCCCCAACCCCCTGGGGTCCAGGCGGGCGGCAGCAGCCCCGGGGGAGAGCCCCCAGGCCTCCCCTTGTCCCTGTGTCCCTCTTCCCAGCTTCCCCAGGGCAACGTCCTTCTTACCTCCCTCCTCCCCAGTCGTCTGTATGTCTCCCTCCAGGGATCTCTGTCTCTTTCTGTAACACTCTCCTGTCTGGGTCTGGATTGTGTGGCTCGACTCTGAATCTCTCTGTTCCTTCACTGTGACTCCACTCTCTCCGTGACTCTGTTTTTGTCTTCCCGGTTCTAAATCTCTCACACACCCTCTCTCTGTCTCCCTTGCCCACACACATGCTCTGTGTCTGTCTCCTGCCCGCATCTGCCTGCATTCTCTCCGGGTCCCTGTGACTGGCTTTTCCGTTTTTTCTGTTGTCCATCCCAAAAGCAAGAGAAACTTCCAGCCACTGCTGCCCACCCTCCTGCGGGGGATGTTCGGCCCCAGGTCAGTGCTGCTAATTAAGGGGGGGGGGCGAGCACTGGGATTGCCTGAAGCCCTCCTCCACTCACAGACTAGAACCGCCCCCCCTCGGGTCTCCTGTCTTTACAGACCTGCCCGCATGGTTCCATCCATCACTCATGGCCTCATCCTGGCTCCACTGGCCTCCAGCAGAGAGGGTGCCAGCCCACCTCCCAGGGCCAGAGCTCCAGCCCCCCACATTGCCGCCTCCCTGGAGCTCTGCCCAGCTGTTGGCCTGCCCTGGGCATCCCAGCTCTGGGCATTGTCTTGTGTGTTTCCCAGGCCCCAGGGGGAGGGGAGGGGAAGGAAAGGAAAGGAAAGGAAAGGGGGAGGCAGCTGGGGAAGGGGGAAAAGGGAGGAAGGGGAGGGGCCTCCATCTCTAATTTCATAATAAACAAACACTTTATTTTCTAAAGCTGGAGCCCTGTTTCCCGTTCTGCATGCAGGTTTCGATACAGAGCTTCCCTGTGCCAAAGGGTGGGAGCAGAGGCCTGACCCAACCCCGCTGGCTCCTTTCTTCTTTGCGGGGGTGGTGGGGGCAGTCCACTCAAGTCCCTCTAGCCCGAGGAGGGTTTGGGTTGTTTCCATTCAGGGAGTAAGTATCCCCACTGCCAACTCTCCTGTTCCTTGTTGGTCTCAAAATGTCTAAGGGAATTAAGGGGGATTGGCCAGAGGGGAGGGTGGCAAGGAGAAGTGGGGGTGAGAGCTCCTAAGAAGAGAGGGGGAGAGATAAAAGACTAAGAAGAGATGAAGAGGGTTTCATCACAAAAATGTGGCTGGGGGGCAGCAGAGGGAGCAACCCAGTCCTCCCGGGGCCTGCGGTGCCAGGTGGGAGAGGGTGGGCCAGGGTGAGATGGCATAGTCCCATTGATTCTGGGCCCAGTGCTGCCACCTTTAATTCTCCCCAGTCCTGGTCTTACTCTCCAGGGAACATAAAGGAGGAGGGAGAGGGACCAGGGAGGCAGGCTCTCTAGGGGCCCAGGGGCTGAATCAAAGTCAACTGGGGTGGGAGCTGAACAGAGAGCCGTCATTTCTCAGGGTGCACTCCCTGAGCAGAGAAGGGAGGTCCTAACTCCAGGCAGGGCTCCTAGTGATAGGAGGTGATGGGTCAGGACAGATCCTCGTGACCCTCCCCTCCAAGTGTGGGGTGTTGGCCATCCGGGGGAGCTACTCCAATGGGAAGATGCCTTCTCACACCTTCCATGCCTGCTTGGTTAGGGCAACCAGGTGGCGGGAGAACAGGACCCTTGCCCCGGGGCTGGACTTGTCCTTTACTCTGTGAAGGATGGACCTGGAGCCCTGACTGGTAGAAGGCCTGTGCAAGAGCAGGCTGGCTGTCCCCCAAAGGAGATGATTGGGAGCCAACACTGCAAGCGTGGTGTTAGAGGGACAGCATTTTCCAGTTCAGGGCAGGATGGGCAAACTCTCTGCCCCTCTGCTCTCACCCCAACATCTGCATCAAGCCTTCGGGCGTAAGTGGAGACAAGGGAGGGACTGACCTAGGTGGCGAGGTGTGCTCAGAAGTGGGATGCGGCCTTTACCTGCTCTCCCAGCCCTTCCAGGCCTCCCTTTCCACTTCCTGAGGTCCGCCCCGACTCCAGTAAACTCGGAGGGAAACACAGGGCATAGGGAAACAGGCCTGTCAGCAAGACCCCTGGGCTTATCTCTGGTCTCAAATACCTCATCATCTCGAAGGACAGAACCTATCAAAGGGAGTGAAGAGGGACAGGATCGTGAAAGGAAAGGAGAAGGGAGAGAAGGGGCAAGGTGACAGGAGAAGGAGGGCTCCCTTCTTATTCTGCCCTGTATGTGGGTTCAGTCCTCCTTCCCCCGTTTATGGGGAGGGGAAGGGGGCAGAGCATCCCAGAGGAGTGAGCTGCAGGCAGTTTTTGAGCCTGGGACTGGGCTCAGGTAGCAATCCCAGGCTGCACGCACCCACACATGCATACCCACATTTTCTCATTCCTGGGGCTTTAGGATCAGGGGTGTGAAGATGCAGAAGTGGGGAACAAATGAGCTCTGCCCCCACTTCCTCTCTGCTTTGGACCATTTTTGCAAAATAAGTGACAAGGCCTGGCTTTCTCTCCTAAGAGGGGCTGCTCTCCTTATCCAGGTGTTAACCCTTTCTCTTCCAGTCTCTTTCCTGTCTCTGTACACAGGAACTGCACGTGCATCACCTAGCACACTCACACGCACACATCTCTACTGGGTCACTCACACCAGGACACAGATCCACAAATATCTCTGCACTTGGGGATGCACCCTCTTATGCCTGAGTCCATCACGTACTTGAACCCTGGGCAAAAGCTTTCCTCCTGTGCTCCTCCAGGACTAGGCTGGCCCCGGGGGTCCCTGAGCTCTGCTTATCATTCCCAGAGCCCCGCACCTTCTCCCCAGAGGCTGAAGAGTGGTCAGGGGGTGAAGGGTTGCTGCTGAGGCCACCCACCAGATTCCAGGACCCTGATTGGAATAATAGCCCTCCTGTAAGAGGCAGCTTTCTGCCACTCTCCCCCCCCCCCCCCACTTTCCTCCCTCTGCCTCCACTGCTTTCCTTCCTGAGACTCCCTGCCTTTCCCGTCTCCTCCCTGATTATGCCCTGAAGGCCAGAGCCTGGGGGTCTCCTCTGTCTGTCCAGCTCCAGCCTGGAGGAAGTGCAGCATTGAGGCTCGGGGCTCAGAGCTGGGCTGCAGGCTGAGAGGAGGGATGTCCAGGAGGGAGGAAAGGGGGCTGCGAATCTTGGGACTGGAAGCTCTGCAGGAGTGGGATGAGAGAAGGAAGGTTCAGCAACCTTCCGGTCAGTCCCATCTCTCAGTTGACTGTGCTTTCCACCCACCCCCCTTCAACTTTGCCTGGGGAGGGGCAGGGCAGGGAAGGTGGCCCTCCTGGAACTTGGCTTACCAGGGAGCTGGAGGAGGGGCAGGAAGGGCGGGAGAGGATGTGCTAGCCCGACAGTTCCCGCTGGAACAGCCACCTCCCTCTTCTCTTCATTCCCCAGAGGGAGTGACAGGAAGGAAAGGCTGGAAAGAAGGCAAAGGGAATTAAGCAGGAAGGGGAAAGAGGGAAAGAAGTCTGGCCACAGCAGTGACAGAGTTCCCAGTGGGCTGCGGCCATGGCTCCAGGTCCTGGCGGGGGAGTGGGGGTGGCCGCCCTCCAGGCCCTCGGGCTCCTTTGCCCACCAGGCAGGGGTTTGGCCCAGCTACTTCCTCCCCCACCTCACTCCCAGATGCCTGCAGGGCCTTGGGGAGAGAAAGAAGGCAAGGAAGAGGACCTGGGAGGACAGAGCTGGGCTGAAGGAGCAGAGCTCTGGAGCCAAAGGCCCGGGTCCCAGCCTCATCTCTGCCACTTACTCTGCGACCCCGGGCAAGTCACATAACCCTTTGAACCTGTTTCCTCTTCTGTAAAGTGAGGATAATTATTACCTCAGAGTTATCACGAGAAGGGCATTCAGAAGGAGTAGTGATTGTAGTCCTTAGAGTCCCTCGGGGGCAGGGGAGGGGGCCGAGGGGAGAGCAGCTGGGAGAAGCCCCTCACCACCACAGGGTCCAGGCTGCCCTGTCCCCCCCCCAGCCTGGGCACTCTGGGCCAGTCGCCCCACCTTACTCCACTCCCCGCTACCCCCCTCACCAAGGTGACACAGTGACAAAGACTCTGAAGCTGAGATGAGCACAGGAATGGGAGGCAAAGAGAGCGGGGGATCGCGTGGGAAAAAGCGGCAAAGAGGGTGGTGAGAAAGAGGGTCTAGCACTTAGCCCCGTGTCTGGCATGCAGTAGGCATGCCCCGGAGGATTCGCTGCAGAGAACTTGGGGGTGGGAAGTTGGCTGGACCAATCCATCAGGCAGAGGAACATGTTGGACAGAGCCATCAATAGCACTGGGAGG